TAAAAGCCTCACTTGTCCTTGAAGCACAGGAAATCCCCACCACCATCACCTTGATCTGCGACCCCCCCCTCCACTCTGATAAATGCAGCGCACAGAATACAAACTGTGCCGTGGAGCTCGAATACGAAAGGAGGTGGGCAGATATTCAAATGGGAGCTGCTGGTGTCTTAATGAGGCAGTGAAGTATGTTGTTATCAGATCTGGAGCCGTATACCTACAGTAAATGCAGAGATACCGAAGCACGCCTTTAGTCAGAACCCAGCCCTTGGTGCACAGTCAAGCAGAAGTAGGCGTTGCTTTAAGGTAACGTGTGACATAGGGAATGGCTGGTCGTCTCGATGTTCTGGTCCCAGTCCGTCCACCGCATTTCTGGTAATTACTGCCTGCGGTCTGTGGGGCTGTCAGCTTGGCCCAGTACTATCGCGTTTTTTGTAGGCGTGAATCGTCTGCTTCTGAGTAAGAGTGTGATGTTGTGTGCTCCTTGTTGACACCGTGATCGGATTCATGTGCCTCCGTGAGGTCGTCCGAGGTCCGGCACGGGTAAGACATTGACTTTAGAGTTAGGCGATATGGCTTAAAAATAAAATCTCCGGTTCTTTCACAATAAATCCGATTTTCAATTTTAATCGATTTTCCCCTCCCCTACTCAGAGTCAAACTACAGATGACAAATAAATGGTTCAAAACAAGTTTTTAACTTTATTTTGTTTTGTTTTTTTTTTTTACTTTAGGGTTAAAGTGCAATCTGAAAAGCCAAAAAAGACTCTTGTGAGATGGCAGATCACGCCATTGTAAACACTTTTAGAAACTTGTGAAAACTTAATGAATCCCGGCTTTTCCACAGTATGTATGGGCACCATGTGTTTTGCAATATACATCGCGACAGCGTTTGTTATCGCCTTCCACCGTGCGCCATTCTTATCATATGGCACACAGTTGGAAAACGTGTCAGGGACGGTTGCTGGCTTAACATTGGATGTTGCGCTGGTGCTGCATGTTTTTTCATTTCGCTGGAAGCTGCACTTCTCCCACTCTGCTGCATGACTCTGCTTTAGGTGCTGGAATAAATTTGTCGTGCAGCTTCCTTTGGTTGCAAAAGTTTTTAAACAGACTTTGCAACGTGGACTTGTTTGGTCTGTGTCCGACGGCGTGAAACTGATTCAATTCCATATTACAGATGTAGCAACACCTTTCTTTGATTGCATGCGCTAATTTACCTATGAAGGACGGTGCGTCACATTAGTTCCGCTTTTGGCACTCGCGTGTAAAATAGGTAATGAAATCGATTTTCATAAAAACACATCGTCCTGAACTGAAAATTCGAATTAATCGATAAAATCGATGTATCGCCCACCTCTAATTGACTTCCTGCCCACCTGGGATTCTTGAGTCGTGGAGAAGGCTCCCAGAGAAAATATTGGATTGGATCTGCTGATTCTTTATTAGTTTAGTTAAACTTTGAAAGTGGAAAAGAAATGGCCTCTTGCTTTGGTTGACTAGGAGCATGTTCAAAAGTGCCTTTATTGTAAGCAGTGTGTCATACCACATTAACGCTATAAGGTGATGGCTGTAGGTTTGTGAGTCTGGCTCGCAAAGCACTTAATTCCAAACTAAGTAAAGTTTAGTTTCATTTCCTGTCTTAGTGTTAAACACTGGTGAGAAGGTCTTAGTACTGGTGCCTAGCACAGGAGCCTTAAAAGGTGGATCAAAAAGGTTTCCTCATTGTGATGGTACAGTTTGGTCAAGATATTTGTAATGATGACATTCAGTGGTACAGTTACGCTAGCATGAGTTTACAAGAATGAATGAATAGATTAATAGAATTGGTGGCCTTTTGCTGTCCAAAGTCAACTTGTTGACATGATTTAACAAGAGCCTGAGGTTATGCTTATGAGGTCAAAAAGGTCGTGCATAAAAGAAGGTCTCTATCTTCCATAGCTTTTGGAGGTTCAACATGCTCATAGTTTAGATAAGGTCAGAAAAGGTGGATGGTGACTAAGCCACACCGCAGCGAGGGAACTTTGCAAAGACACCGTCTCCCCAATGCTCTGTCTCCTCGGTTCCGCCTTGGTTCCTGGCGTGGTCTTGTTCTAGTGCAGGAGCACCCTGGAAATCCGGTCCCCCTTTTGTTGGGGAGTGTGAAGAAGGATGTGTTTTTGAGATGGTTCCTGCTTGTATATTACGCTCTGTTTGCTGTGACCGGCGCTTTGTTTTGGGTCAGCAGGTTATGCTGGATGCTTTGGATGCTGGGGTGGAACTCGGTCCGTAAGACTTGGCAGGAAATGTGGGAACTGGAGCGGCCGCAGCAGTGTAGAAAAGGGGTCACAGGAAGAGCCGAGGGCCAGGGGCTTAAAAATAGACTTTCTATTTAAAATGTGTTTTTCATGAATCTCTTGTTGCAGCATTTGGAGCTGTCAAGTTCTATATTTTCTGTGCAAGTGCTTTTCAAGTCTTCTTGAAGGGCTGGTTAGCAAGTGTGAGTAATACCCACAGTTCAAGCCTAATTATCATTTCATTTGCCTCACTTAGTTTTGCGTACACTGGACATTAGAAATGCCAAATAAGACTTCAGCCAGTGTTTCCCAATCCGATGCTCAGAGACCCACAGTCAGTCCATGTTTTTTGTCCCTCTGAGATCCCTGCCAGAAAGTCCACATTTTTGCTCCCTGCTGGGAACTGGGAGGGAGCAAAAATGTGGACTATCTGTGTGTCCCCAAGGATCAGCAGACCATAGGAATTGTACTGGAAGCATTAAGCCATGATCAGACATGTGATCAAGCAACTCCTGGTCAGTTACTAGAGCACGGGAGATGGGGGGGGGCAGCCTTTTGCTCCCATGCCAACCACTGGTGCCCTGAAAAGGCAGAAGACTGATCTGCTCGGAAAGTCAGGAAGCTGTTCCATGAGGTCCTGGCGCTCCCCTGTTTGCAGTCGTATTTGCATTACAGGGCCAGCCTTTGCACGTCAGCAGTGACTCCGGCACGTGTTCAGACTTTATCACGCAAGTGAGCGATGATCAGCACACCCTTTCTGTGCGGCACCTTTGCGGTTCCTCCCCTGTACTACCTCCTCGCCCGCCTGTGAACCATCCCCAAGTCTGCTTGGTTTGACCCAAGAGGATTGGCAGCAGCAGTTTGTCTTCACTTAGTTTTTTTTGTCCTTTGGGTCCCAAACGCTGGTCACTCATAACTGTTAATTTATGGATGTCCAGGCCGAACGATGCCAGCATCAAGCTTGGGTTAGCGAGCCTCCGGGCGTGGTGAGCCATCCAGCCTGTGGGTCTGGCATGGTGAATCCTCGGTGGGCCGCAGAGACAATAGCTTTGGCCTCTGTCGCTCCGGCTCCTTCCCATGCCGCTTAAGCCTTAATGGAGATTATTGGCTCTCCTGTTAGCATGCAGCATTGCTATCCATATGGCTCGATGTTGTGATGAATATGAAGCTTAGCGGATGGGGGCGATATTTCTATGCTTGTGCTCCTTGGAAAATGAGCTTGTGCACTTCTTTTGACTGCCAGCATCTTATAGAATCACCCCCTTCTGTCTAGACACGTACTTTATAGGAATCTTGCTATGAAGGCTTTGCATGTGGGAAGGATATTTGTTTACAACCTGCATGCCATTGCCCTATTATAATTTACATTTCTTTCGTGACACAGAAGGAGAAATGATTACATCGACGGTTGTCTTGAGTTTGACTGTTTCTTGAGAAACTAAAGAGCTAGAGTGTAACTAAGAGGGTTACGCCTCTGTGCCTGTGATGGGAAGGTCACCATTTTGAGCCCAGCCTTGACAGAATCCTTACATATTCGCTGAACGCTAATGCTGCTGCTCTGGTTTTTTTTGGCTACTCAACGGGTGTGAGCGCAGTCGCAAACCCTTCGGGGTACGAGGAACATAAGAACCTCAGATAATAGGGTGACGATCTGGAAGTATTTTACACTTTTAACAGCGACTAGTAGCACGGTGATTTGCAACCTTTGTAGAAACATACTTTTGAAACGTGGGAATAGCGTTTAGTGGAAGATTTCACAAAATAAAGCGCATGCAATTGCGAGACAACACGAGTAATATGTGAAATGCAACGGATGATCTGGGAGTGGCTAGTTTGGGCCGTATTGTGCGCTCGCTGCAGCTTTTAATGCACAAGCGGCTGATATTGCAACAATGTGTAAATGACACTATTACCAGTGGGATGAATTGTGGGGCTAGTCTAATTAAATATTTTCTGGCAACCATTTTTTCATCTGTATTTACTAAATTTAAATATTATTTAAATGTGGATCGGCCCATTCCTACTGTGAACCCCACGCTTGCATGGAGGGCAAGATGGCGCAAAAGCGAAAAAGTCATTTTCCCCATGGGGATCCCTAAAGCTATGCTGCTAATATAAAAAACCTGTTCTTCTGCAAAACGCCTGGGAGAACACAGGAGACGATAGAGAGGAGCAATGAAAGTTTATTTAAAGTTAAAGCAGCAGAACGTTTCACGTGGGGATTTGTAAAACGTTAAAGCTAATTGCAGTAAAAAAAAAAAAAAAAAGCTTGAGTATTGTCCAGCTCTAATTGTGTAGCTGAAAGTCTCAAGTGCAGAAGTGATGTTTTAGGCATGAGAATCAGTTCTACTGTTTATTTCCAGACAAAATTGTGGTGCCATCTTCTCGGTGAATATTTTGGCTTTTCCTTGCCGTCTCTGCACAGTGCTTACTCTATAAGTAGCCAGCAGCTCAGACTAATTCATCTGGACTTCAGAGATCAGGCATTTGTACTGATAAATCCATCATACTTTATGGAATATCCAATTTTTTTTCTGTAAGATTCTAACACAAAACAGGAAATGACTTTGCAACAGCAAGTAATCTTTGCCCTAAACAGACATTTCCTGTTCTACTTGTTTTCTAACTTTTCTCATGTTGTCAGTCCTTGCCATAGTTCTTGTGTGGCTTTCATCGCCCAGGAAAACCGCTCCCGCTGGTTCTGAGGAATCCTTCGGGAGCGGTGAGAGCTGCCTGCTGTATTTCTGAGTGCATGTTTTGCGTAACAGGGGATTTCTGTCCCATTCTTCTGGTCCGTTCCTGAGGATTCCTGCATCTGCTGTCAGCTTTAGCCAGCAATTTGTGAATCCTGAGCGCTTAACATGTAAGCTGGAGTTGAGCAGCTCCCCGTGGATTGGTGTAACGTGATACGGTTATTGTGTGTCTGGAGTCAGTCCTCTGGAGCCGTGGTTGGCCCTATTGATTGAAGCGTTCCTGCTTCTGTTTAGAGTTTGGCGTCGCCTTCTCTGCAACTTAAGACAGTTATTTTTACAGCAGTTGTGGGTCATCTAAGGTCGTTCATTAATTCGAGACCCCTTCCCTTTCGTTCCCGTCGTAAGCGAGCACTGTTATGACTGCTGTTACTCGCGATGTAAACCAGTCGCTGAGCGGAAGTGTTGGACAGGTACCAGCCATGTGACACTGAATCCCCCCCCCCCCAGGTGTATTTCACTCATCCTAGCAGTCGGCATGGAGAGAGAGTGTAGCCAGAACGACTGCGCACACTCCTGGAGGGACGCTACCATCAAGAGGAAGGCCTGGGCGCGGAGCCGAGAGTCCTGGCAGACCCCAGAGTGTCAGGACGCGGAGCGGGAGCCTCATGCAGAGCCTATGGAGGAGAAGCCCTCCATTGCTGAAGACCCAGGTACCCTTCCCGGCTTTTCGCTGGTGTCAGGAACTCTAGAGCAGTGTTTCTGAAACCTGGGAGTTGGGAGGGAACAAAAACGTGGACCGTCTGGAGGTCCCCGAAGGCTGGTTTCAGAAACACTGCTCTACTGGGTTTGGACTCTGCTTGGGGCTTGGGTCTCATTTGGGGTGACATATTAGAGGAAGTAAGTGTGGAATAGTGGGTTTGGCTAATGAACACTATCTACAAATCATGACTCTTTTGGACAGGGTTCATTTGCTCTGTAATGGCATAGTCCTTTTTGCTTTTGAGAATACCATATGTTTTAAGATACACATTCCTTGGGTACTTTGCTGAAATATGTAATTCCATTTTTGTAGGACGCGTACCGAGCAAGATCGCAAGTTGGCTGAAGGAATGCAGGTATGCAGATTGTGATCTGCGCTCCCCGCTGCAGCTCCTTAAATTTCCCGATGCATTCCCAGGAAGTCTGAATGGGGACTCGGGAAGCTGTCCGGAGACCCACCCTGGGCCCGCGCTCGCTCTCCGTGAGACGGCGCCTTGCGGCCTCAGCGGTCCGCACGGGCAGGACTGGCAGGCGAGTCCGGCAGCCGGGCTTTGTGGTGCTGGAACTCTGCCAGTCCTCCACAGCCATTATTTGCAGTGACTACCGGTGTTTTTCAATTAGTGCTGCTATTGTTCCTGTACTCAGAAGACTGAGCCTGCCTTTACCCCCTTTCCAAGCCGGGAACACCGATTTTGGCACCCTGGAAGTGACTGTTTGGTTCCTTCTTAAACCGAAGCTTTATGCTTTCCCTAGAAGCAGGAACAGAAAACAAAAAAAAATGTGACAGGTCCAGCAAAGGTTGTTTTTTTGTCTGTGTAATTTGTTACGCATGTTTTGTTTCACGCAGAACATTTCCTGGAAGTTAATGGTGTTTGTCCAGCCTCGTTCCTGACAGTAAAGTCACCTGAGTGGCTCTTTATCTGAAAGTCAAATGGTAAAGAAGTTTGTCGTGCAAACAGGTCACACTGGATGGCAGGCTGGCATTTTCACCATAGGTGACCCTTAACGTGTGATGATGTCAGATGTACATTAATTGTGGGTCTGCAGGGTCGAGTCCCCCAGGCTCTCTACAGAGTGACAGGGGTTGTGTGTATTTCTTAGCATGTGACAACGCATATCTAAAGTGGTTCACAAATTTTACATTCTGACATCTCTCTTCCACACTGTAGGACACCTCAGGGAGCGTCTCTGGATGAACAAGGGTTGCCAACCAGGGGTAAGCAGAGTCAGCGAATACAAATACACAGGGCGACTTGTGAATGACTGAATGCTACCAAGAGTTAATCACGCCGCCCGTGTGGGTGTGGGCTCTGCTGGGACCGGCTCCCCTTTCATTAGAACTCCCGCCAGGATGATGACCTCAAACTGGTACTTGGGGCCGTGCGTAGGAGTTCCTGTCTGCACGGCGAACTCTGGCGCAACACACCCCATTGTACCTTGCAATTTCTGCACAGCACGTAGCTGCATGCCACTGCAATTTTTAGGAACTGATGCACTGGCGGTCAGACAGATCGCTTCCCTAGGAAGGGCTGCCATCTCATTTTCTTATCTTTTCGCTGGCAGGAGTGACTGAGTCACAATCAAAGCATTTATTTGAAGTCTCTTTAGCTATTCAGAGTGAGGAATTGTTCTCAGTTAGGTTCATTTTTTCATTCGTTCTTTTTTGGTTGTAGTCTAGTCGCTGACCTGTCAGATACTGGAAAGTATTTGGCAAGCAAGGGCATAGAACTGGATATGGCTGGTAGCGACATGTCTGTACCATTATTGTGGGAGTACCGTGTGTTTTTAGAGGTTTTCAGGGGGGTTCAGGGCTGATTTGATCCCTACCAATGTTTAAAGTAACCCCACGCCCTTGCTGGCAAACCACGTCTAGTCAGAAGTTTCTCCCTTGGGTTATACGTTCATGGGTGTTTTTGAACACCGGTTCAGATTAGGAGCGATGTTACTGTGTTTGTCTCCACGTTTGTCCTGTAGAAACTTTTGAGAGGTTTTCTGAATTGTGTTCTCCAGCGCTTACGATACCAATTAAAAGT